TGACCACTCCTGTGAGTACAGTGACAATTGGCCTATCTGTTTTTCTTATATTGTGTTATCAGTGTTGCATATATGCTGAAAAGAATGAAAAAGCAGCATAACTTCCATAAAAGTGGCTCTATCATGCTGATTTTCGAACTTGACCTGCGTATTATTAATACTCATCAGTTCTGTAAGTTTCAAACCAAAAGGTAAAACCGTTTTCCACTTATCGTGTTTACGGTGTTGCATATATGCTGAAAAAAGTGAAAAAAAAGCATAACTTCCCTAAAAATGACCCGATCATGCTGATTTTCGAACTTGACCGGCGTATTATGAATATTCATCAGTTCTGTAACTTTCAAGCCAAAAGGTAAAACGGTTTTTCACTTATCGTGTTTACGGTTAAAGTGCACGCCAACGGCGACGGCGACGGCGACAGCGACGGCGACGACAGACGCAGATGATGGCTATATGTACAGACACATCTGTGTCTGTACATAAAAAGTATCAAGTATCAATTTTCTGTAAATTCATCAAGCTTCAGGATTTTTAAATTATTTTTATCTTCCATCATGCATCTTCTTGGCAATGGTATTTTTAGTATAAAATATCCTTAAATGATTCTGTAATTTTTAGCCATCCTTTGTCTTTTCACTGTTATATCATTTTTACCAATCCAGTAAGGGGGGGGGGGGTCAGGGGAATCCTGACCCTCCCCCTTGGATTTCTGAAAACAAATCACACTGATATTTTCCACTTGAAATTAGAATTTTGAATAGCTTATTTATGCATGTAGTTCTTCACCGTTCCAAATGGCACCGTTTGCCCTCCAAAACATCATTTTATTCAGCGGGCCCCGAGCCCCATCACAAGGGAGCAGACGGTCGGCTTCATATCCGAGGTTTGTCATTCCTAAAAAATCGCCCCCCCCCCCTCTCAATTAATCCTGGATTCGCCCTTGCCTTCTTCCAAAAATGTCAAGCCCAATTATTGCGATTAATTCAGAAAATTCACAGCTGTGGTATAATCAATCACTTTAGTTCTAAATTACTTCCCAATGTATCCTGAAACTTTCCATCATTTTCTTAAGAATTCAACGCAATGGGAAGAATGCCAAAAATTCAGTTATATGCGAGATCTTTACTTGAAATGATGTCCACATTATTCATTTTTCCTATCAACACAGTTTTTGGTATATAAATTAATTTCCTAATGCCATTAATTGATTCACCTGTATAATGCAAATGTTTTTGCTTGGCAATCTATTCTAAATCTTGATTTTTTTTCTCTTCAAGTTATCATGAGATAACGCTCAATGTAATTTTCATCTAATTCCCAATTGCTCATTGAATTACAACATTTGCATACCTATAACTCATGAATGACAGAGTCATAAATAGTGCATCGCTAGTTTGAAATAAGCAGAATTAATGACTTCCAATAGCATTTGTGTTGCTTGATGAATAAACCTAATTAGATAAAGTAGATGCAGATGAACAGTGCCAAAGGCATATTTTGATCATATTACTACAAAAAATCGTTTCCCAGTGATAAAATTTTATGTCAGAGCCCAGGCGTAAACTCCGTAATTTTTTTGAAAAAACATATCAAGGAAATGTTGCCAAAATATCACCACACAAGATGATGTGCGACTTTAACGGCCGCATACATTTCCGCTCTAACTCACACTTAATGCATTCCCTTATACAGCCCGATCTGCCCTGTAACCTCCATAAACTGAAGTTATATCGAGGTCACCGCTAGAGCAGAACCCTGGTCTTTGATCAACTAGAGCAACTCATATCGTTTATCAGTAGACAGTATATCTAATGGTGCTTTTACCCTCCTGCAAAGGTGAAATATACATGCATATATTCTACCGGTCGGTATGGCCAGGTGAAATGACCTGTAAGGAAAAGTGGGTAAAGCTCTCGCACTTAAGGTGTCTGTATGGGCTGTCTTCATTTACATGTATGCACCTTGGTTTCTCTGTACGACTTAATAGATGTTTTGACATCTTGCGTATTTTGGTAACATTTACACTCACCCCCCTGATGTTCCAATAGCCAATAATCAGTGGCGCTTGCATAGTCTGTAGGATATACTGTTTGAAGGCATACAGTGCATGGGACTCTGCTCAGTGACGGAGGTGCACTGCCCGCACTGCATATTGCACACTTTAAAAGGTGAAACATAAGGCAACAAGTACACTGTACATGAATAACCTAGCTTGTGGTTTCCTTGTCCTAGATACATACGCATAAATTTGTGCTTTATGCTCTATTATATTTAGACGAAGCTGCATGATTTTGAAATTAAATCGCTGTTGTTGATTTCAAAAGTCGCGTCAGCAAGTCTGCGTAAAGTGCTTCCAATATTAAGATAATTAAAGAAATTCAATATAAGGATAATTTTTAAAAAAATCAGGTTATGTTCTTTTTAGACAAACTGATCGAATTAAAAATGCCTAAGAAATAAATGTAGGCCTACGTACGTAGGCCCCTAATTGAACATAGTTTTATTAAGGCCTTGTAAAATGGATTCACAAATAAATTAGGTATTGTTTAAATGAAAATTGACCAATAACTGTCTCTCAGGCGCGATAGGCCTATGGTCGTTTGAGGGGTTGTGGCGAAGATCCATAGGCTTAGGCCTACATGAAGGGGAGAAAGTTAAGTAGGGGTCTAAATAAAAAAGGGAGGGGACGTAGATCAAAAGGGCTCTGGTGGCCAGTCACAGTAAGAAATATATACTGCAATCGACATAAAAATTCAAAATTTAGAGCAAATTTAATTTCGAGGCGGGGGAAAGCACCCTGAGCTCAGGGTGGGGGAAAGGGGATGGAGAGGGAAGAAAAACACATTCAGAGCGCTACCTGTCGATGAGTATTGACCTTTAAAACAACCTTGACCTAGAAAAGCAGAAGGCATCTCGCATGAGAACATGAAGGACAAAACACCGGTTGTTTTGAGTAAGTGGTGAAATTATAAAATTATTTAGTCTACATGGTATGTTAACATTGATGTAATTGATGATAAGACCTTATTTTTTATAAAGAAACTGATGAAGGAAAAGGTGATTTGGTGTTGAAATGAACTGGTGAATCAGGATATCCAAGAACATGAAGAAGGGTTGGGGGAAGTGAGAGTTGTCTTTCTTTTGCTCTCTCTAGGAGGTATGGTCATTCGTAAGGAGTTGCACCAAAGTGGCTTTGGGGAAGTTCTTAAACCATACTAAGTGATTTGTGTTCAAGTGAACGTAAAAGCTATTCAAATGTATCAGTGGACATTACGCAAATCTATTTTGATTTCTCGTTGTGGTGTAGAGCAGAACTCGATAATATATAAACATATCAAGCTCCTACACGGGGTGGGGGGGGGGGAGGAGAGAAGGATGTCCACTCTAGGGAAAATTTGTTATTGGTACACGGATGTTTTATAGCAAAAGGTCCACTTTTTCAGAGAAGAACCTCCCCTCTCCTCCTCTAAAATTGCTGGCTACGGACTTGATCATCCTTCAAATAGAGCCACTGGTGTGCTTTTGCAGTATATATACAGTGTAGTAGTCTATCTCTTTACAACCAATCACACTAAAATGTACACAGTACATCAACCAGTCCTAACCAAATTGTACCAGTCCATAACTACCTAGTAAATCAGTCTAAAAGGAAAAGATCCAAATATACTGGTAGAACTATTAAAGAAATCAGTTGAACAAAGTTGAACAATTAATTTTGACAAATTGCTTATTTCTTTAACTAGCTTGATGACTAGAGTCAATAACCTTGGATCAGTGCATGGTTGATGCTACAGATATGCTGATGATAAGAGAGGATCCTGTAGTATAAGATGGATCTCTTGTCTGCTGTCAGAGCAGGCAACATACAGGCTACAGAGCAGGCACTGAAGGATGGAGGAAGCCCTAACATCAGGGACGAAGAAGGTAGGACCCTTCCCGTCTCCTCAGTTTTTTTTTTCAATTAATTAATTTATTTATATTGCTTTGCCATCACCTGGGATTTATTGTTTTTAAAATTATTTTTAGTTTTCATATGACTTTCTCCAAGGACAAAAACATGAATGGATATAATTGTAATAATTTACTAGTGAGTTAATTATGTGTAGTCACTCGGATTTCAAAATGGTATCCAAAATGTATGAAAATAATGAAAGAAGGTCATTTTTATGGTATGTAGTAATATTTTATCTAAAAAGAGACGTGCATGCAATTCTCATTGTTTAACACTCACGCATGCACATACACACACACACACACACTTAGAGAGAGATACAGAGAAGAAAGATTAGATTCTGAACCGTTGAATTTAAGTTTTGACAGGTACACATTTTTATGGCCAAGATGTGATTTGTTTCTCTCTCTAGGTAATGTACCCTTACTGCTGGCAGTAGAACAGAAGAAGTTATCCCTTGTGCAGTTACTATTACAATACGGTGCTGACCCTGTCTCTGAATGCGCCACCCCCGACCGCTCCAGTCCCTTCTCGTTTGCTCTGTACACAGAAGACATCCTCATGTTGGAGACCTTCATCAAGCATGGTGTGGACTTAAACCAGACATTACCCAAGGAGAATGCTCCCGCCTTAATTCTTGCCGTGGACTTGGGGAGCTCAAGGCTTGTCAATCTTTTCCTCAGTTATGGTGCCGATGTGAACCATATTTGTGCAGGAATTACGCCTCTTATTAAAGCCATTGAGAACAAACACATAGGGATAACTAGGACTTTGTTAGAGCATGGTGCTAAAGTAAAGGAGAAAAATGTTGATGTGACTCCCTTAGCAACAGCATTAATGACAAACGACAGTGATATCGTCAGAATCACACTGCAGTACGCCCAGAGGGAAGGTATTAACATCAACAATACATTTGGTGGCTTTGCCATTGCCCCGTTATTACTAAGTGCCAAATTTGGCCTGGCAAACTCCACCAGGGTGCTCTTGGAGGCAGGTTGCGACGCCAACGTCACCACACAGTATGGGGAAACGGCATTACATTTCGCAGTGCAAGGATACTCTAACACTGCAGTGATCGCGATTCTCTTGGAGGCAGGGTGCAACCCTTTCATCGCAGACTTACAGACTGGCAAAGGTAACACGGCCCTGCACCTTGCCTGTCATTTAGGTAACTTGGCAGCAGTGAAAATGCTGTACTCTCACATGGTTAATATGTGGAACAAGGACGAGAGGATACAGTCAGGAAGCAAGCATAAAAGAACCAGCTTTTCCAGCATTGGAGAAGACCCAGAGCATACAGCTTCTGGTCCCTCGAGCCATTTTTCATCATCGGGAAGTGGCTCCTTACCTAGTTATCACACAGCATTGAATAAGAGAAGCAATCAGTATGGCGGGGTTGGCTCCATGAAAAGTCAACAGCCCTCTCAGGTCTCTGGTCAGCCCTCACAGGCTATGCCCAGTATTTTAGCCTACTGCCAAGCTGCAGATAGTGTGCTGTCACTTCCAAATGAACAGTGGCACACACCTGTAGGGAAAACCCTTCTCTCGGGCAAACTACAAGTGCTTGAATACTTCATCTCTATAGTACAACACATTCGGCTGTATCTTCCTGCAAGCACATCCAAGGCGGTATCAGAGGTTGATCTCCTCCTCCATCGAGCGGTCAGTTCAGGTCAGCTTGAAGTGGTGAAGTTTTTACTGGAAATTGGGTAGGTTACGATGGTGTATACTAGCCAAGAGTTTATGTTTGGTGAAAAATCTTAAGAATTTGCTTAAATGATTAGTACTTTAGTAGACAGGGTAAAGATTTTCATTATTTTCCAGTTTTCTTATTGGAGAGAATTTTGATGTCATGCTTTAGGTTTGAGAATGTATCTTTCTATGGGCCAGGAAAGGAAGACTTGCATTCGGTTGTTTCAGAAGTTTTCCATCTTATGTCATTTATTTCAAAGTTTTATTCATCATTTATTCTCTCATAACTGAATCTCACAGTTCATAGGAGGATGTTTGGTGTATGGAGAAACAGGAGGTGGGGGGAGGGGAGGTTAGAAGGGTGATAGAGGTACACGATACAGCAAAAACTTTTAAATAGTCCTTAATTTTTTTTTATTATTTTTTCCATTATTATCAATAGTTTACTAAACATCTGTGATAATTATGACAATGCACACAGACAGAAGGCAGTTCTTCTAGGCAGTTGTTTTCACAGTAGTATTGGGGTAACAATGGATAAAGCCTGAATTTAAAAAAAATGATATGTTTTACTTTGTGCAAGCTCTTAATAGTAATAATGATAATAATTATATCATTTTTTACAGGTATGACATAAACAAGCCAGATGAGACCAAATCCTGCGCCACACCCCTGATAGCTGCAGCCAGACAGGCGTACACCAACATTAACATGTGCCAATTCCTGGTTGACCATGGAGCTCAGCTGAATGCCGTTGATAAAAATCACGAGACGGCGCTGTCCACAGCAGTTTACTTTGGTTTTGAAAAGAATGCTGCACTGTTGATTCAACATGGTGCTGACCTGAACTTGCCTGATGCAAGGTTAATTTTCTTTTCTTTTGATATAGATTTTTTTGCTTGTGTGTGTGTGTGTGTGTGCGCACGTGCACACACACACACACACACACACACACACAAATGTTTTAAGGCTTACTTGAAATGTTTCCAATTGCTTTGGATGGAGTGACATGAACCTCACTAACACCTTTGAGTAAAAAAAAATGGAAAAATAGGTTTAAGATCAAATCTGAATCCCCCTCTTCCCCCCCCACACACACACACACACTCTCTCTCTCTCTCTCTCTCTCTCTCTCTCTCAATAAGATATTTAAAACTCTTATAGATTAATTCAGTCATTTTGAAACATGTCATTTTGATTTAGCTTTGAATCAGTTTAGGTTAACTGACAAACATACATTACTGATCATCATCTGGTTAATCATTTGCAATATAGTTTTGTCTTATTAACTTCCAGGCAAAGCTATCACTGAATGATGATTGGCCAAAGAAAAAAAAGACCTTTCGTTTTTTAAAGCATGTGCTTTTGTTTCCTATCAAGTCGTTTTTCAAACAGTTCTTTTAGATAATTTCTGATATAATTTATGGCATCTCAAGTCATGCTGAAATAATATTTACTTTCTTATATTGCTGATATTTCCAATAGAATGAAAACTTGACTATTAAGTTTATCACATTATTGTGTTCTTAGACAGATAGTTATGTGCCGTAAAGGAAAACATTAATTTTCATATATGTAAATTTTAGATCCACCACACCACTCTACTGGGCCATATTCAACGCCAGGATTCCGACGCTGCAACTTCTAATCCACGCTGGAGCAAAATTTACCCACGAGCAGCTTCGACTGACGCCGAAAAATCTGAAAGTGACCCGAGACCCACACCTGAGCGCCTGGATGCTGGAACAGATTTCCAACCCTCGAAGCTTGCAGTTGACGTGCATTTTGATGCTCAGGCGCCACCTGGCAGAGCTGAGCGCGGGACGGACAATTTTGCCGAGGATTTCTCTTCTGCCTCTCCCCAAGAGCTTGCAGAGCATGTTGACTTTTGAATAGAGAGTGATATTAATTTCTGTCTAGTGACTCTAGTCGTATTTGTTTTCATTCACAAATGTAACTTAAGATAATTATTTCTCACTGAATTTTTTTGTGAAGTTATTGGCGTTAAAATCCCATGTCACCGAAAATTGTGAATTTAAGATTGTATCTTACAAAATTGGACAACTAAAATTTGGTCTTTTGCCAGGTCAGTTATATTTACATTTATTGTCATTTGTGTGTGCACTTCAGCTTGTTATTTAATAATTGCAAGTGATATAGTTGCAGCTATACGAGGCACAAGCAAAAAGTTGAGTATGAGTGGCGGTCCCCTATGAACAGGGTTGTTGGACGAATTTTATTTTTATATTTGTATTTTTAACGTAGGCGGCAGTCGTTTTTTTTTCTTTTTTTTTTCTCAACTTTTTCAGGAAAAGAAATTTTAGTATGGGCGATATTTAAGCATAAAAAATTTGCATGAAGGTTTTTCCTAGGGCTAGTTCCCCCATTACCAAATGCATTTTTCCATTAAAAATACGATTTTTTCCCCACAAAATTAGACTCGCTTCCATTTGGTATTCAACTTTTCAATTCGGTCCAGTCCTACATCAAGATATATATTGTGTATGTATGTACACACACACCGGGACAAAATAATATAAAAGTTGCCACTGATAAACTTGTTTTGGACTGCTTCCCTTTATATTTTGATTCATTTGTTGAAAATAAATATCTACAATCAGAACTGTATTGCGATAGGGGAGTTGTTATTTAGTTGTGCCATCGAACGCCACTGCAGCAATTTTTATCTTTCATTTTGTTCCGATGACGGTTGGGGGGGGGGGGGGTGACGGTGGTTGTAGAGGCTAATGTGTATGTTTGATCGAAAAAAGGGGGAGGGGGCGTGATGCGTTTTGCATTTTTTTTTTCATTTTTATTTTATTTAGAATGTTTTCATTTATTTCTTCATGTGTTTTAACATAAGCGCCTTTACGTTATGAAAACCTTAAATCAACTCATAAATTTGTCAATATTTTGACGTCCTCTTTATTATACTGCACTGCATATTCTATACGCTAGTTAACATTATCGTTTAAAGGTGTTATGTGGGTTTGTTAAAGAATTTTAAATATATTTTGTCAATTTTTAGTTGAAGATTCCATTTCTTGTCGTCCATCAGCGCTCTGACGTTAAGTGCATTACCATGAAGTACGATTCTGTATTAGCAACGAGCGTGTGACTGTTGATAAGTAAATAACAAAGACATATAAATACCAAACAAATTGCTTATTGAAGGTCTGTGACCCACGTCCCTATGGGAGTACTTAGCTTAACAGTGGTTGAACGGGCTAATGGGGGAATTCGGTTATAATGATTAGTGATTGACCTGTATGGAATACTTCAATTAGAGCGCGTCGCGGCAAAACAATATGGGTCGCACCAAAACGGGACATTTTGGACCCCTGAAATAAATTGCAATCCCCGATGAAAGGTGGGGTTCCATTATTAATTCTCGAGTTCAAGGTGGAGTATTTGCCCAAAAGTTCGCGATCGTTTTAATGACGTGAGGAAAATCCTACTTGTTGCCAGTGAATAGACGGGATAATTGATTTTGTAAATATTTTCTATTTAGTTAAAGTGTTGCTTTGAACGATTGCACCTGAGAGGCATTTGCTCAGCTCTCGACTTAGCTAGATGTCACAGGAGAAAGGACGTGAACTCACGAAGACAGCAGGCAGAACTTAGTCCTTCTAGAGTAATTACTATATTTATGTTAAGGTAAGCGTTCAGTGTTACTGTATTTTGAAATTCAAAAAGTTAATGACGATAGAGTGTTAAAAGTGATCAGAAAAGTAAGCGGCTAACAGAACGGGCGACAAGAATCCGCAGACAATTTACTGTTACATTAATCATACTATTTCGAATGTAAATTGGGCATGACATTTTAAGACAAAAAAGGAAAAAGTGGGAGGGTACGGTTCAACTGAAGAGCGGACAGTTTTACTTGGAAACCGTGACATCTGCACCACAAAACACGATAACCTCTGCTTGTCTGTTTTAAATATTTTATTATATTGATGACCGAGGATTAGAGTGAACAAAGACAGATTATGACGTGAGAAAAATACATATTGTTTACCATTCGGTTACAAAGACCTGATTTTTACGCACTTCGACAAATATAAAGATACACAATTGGGTTTAAAGATTATTTCAGAATACCGATGTACAAAATGCTAGGTCTTTAGAGACAATGCCAAACGAATTAACCATTAATATTAATTCCCATACGCCAGAAATATTTGTCAGTCAAGGCATATTGGGCTGAGACAGACTATTAGGTTTCTCTTTTGTGTGTTTATCTTATTGAAAATTCGATTTTCCTAAACAGTTAATTCGTATTGTGCCGTGTGTGTAAATATTGGAGATACATTAACAGCTCAGGTGAGGAGAAAAGTCTGATCAATTACAAATAATGAGTCTAATTCGGATAAATGGCATGCCAACTGTGTAACAAACGTTATTGTGAAGTAACTGCAATTTATCTTGTTAATATGAAATATTTCAGGGAAATCAGACTGATACAAGAGCGACACTAACTCGATATCTCTAGTGCTTGCTAATAATAATAATGATAATAATAATAATAATATAAAGCTTTTTTTACAGGTATGACACAAACACAGCAGACGAGTCCAAATCCTCCTCGTTGGAGAGGACTCCATTTACAAGAAAAACAGACTAAACTGGCGGAAAAAATGAGGTCATATCATAGCATTCCGAGAAAAGAGACCGTGAGATACCAATAAAATTACTTTGACATTCAAAACTCATCTTTGAAGTCCATCTTGTCATACTAAAGAGAAAGAGAAAATATTGGTAATCATAGCAAGATACTTAACGACAGGACAAATTGAAAGAGAAAAAAATGCCCAGAAAACTTCTTCGAGATTCAGACCGTGGCTGGTACAGCTGGGAGGGGCGGTTCAATGCCGTCCTGAGGATGAGCAATGCCGCTCTGTGGGCCACAAATAAAAAGATCGAGAAGGAAAAACACAGGCACGTTGTCTGCTTAGACAAGCTGAGAGACGAGGAGCGTTGCTACGATCAGCGGTCAGAGGACGAACTGAGAGACATGAGAAACGAGTTGTTAGAAATGAAAGCGTATAAGACTGCGTACGAGAGGGCCAGTCTTAGGAGTTACTACGCCAGTCCTGAGCCTCCTCAGACGATTTTTATAACGGAAACGAAGAAGCCAAAAATGAAGAAAGAGGAACAAAGACAGAAACCACCCCAAGATCTGAAAATCGGCAAGATGAAATGGGGTGCGATGAAATTAAAATTAGGATATAAAACTGAGACAACTGATGGAAATGACTCCACCGTGGAGGGAAATAGTAAATCTACAACAAATAGTCGAATTTCTAATACCAAATTTAGCTTACAACAAGCAAACTTCACAAGTATTGTCGCTAAGGTCAAGGAAGACGCTTACAGGAACCAGGTGTTTTCCAAACTGAAAACACTTCAGAAAAATGATCCGTTCGGCTTAAAAAGCATAATGAATACAGACGATACTCTCCACTTTCCATACAGACTTCAAGAACGTTCGAGAACGTTTGTGTTCCCTCGAACTAACATTATGCTAGATATGGAGGGAGAAAGTCAAAGGTCATCCGATCCAAAAGTAACGAAAAAATCCGAACGAAAACAAATTGAGAACAAACGGGCGCTGGACGTTCGCATGCGCGTTTTCCCGGAGAACTGCAAAAACAGATTTTCATTGAATCAATTCATCGAGAAAAATAAAAACGAACTGGTTACTAAATGGTCCGAACCCGTGCGCAAACAGCGAAAAACTGGAGAATTAATCGAGAAAATACAATTCCCTCCTGTCGTCCAAAGAAGCAAAACAACCTCGGCAATTTTTAGAGATTACAAAAAATACAGAAGGGAGCACGACGACACATTGCTTCATCGGCAGAGGGCACTGACGTTGCCAAACATCGAAGCAGGCGAGACTGGCATGCAGGAGAAAATGGCATCTTAGAAAATTTATGTATCTGAGAGCTGTTTTAAAAACATCTTGAGGCTTGAGTTGATCTAATTTTAGCCTACTTGGAGGTAGGGTTCAATGGCTCAAATTTACTACAGTGATAAAACAATGGATTTTCTAAAGTTTTACAAAGTTCTAAATTGGCACGCTTTACAACAAAGAGAGGCCGTTTATGACAAAAAAGTGCACTAAAATGTTAGATTTACAATTTGGAGAATTTTGTTTATGAAACAACGGCAGCATCTTTATTTTGGAAATTGGGCATTTGCATTGAGAGCATTGATGTTAATCATTATTATGTTGCAGATCAAATAAAATATTTAAGATAAAAAAATGCCTGTTGGTTTATATTACTGTTTATAGAGTATCAAAGTTTGAGACTAAGTATATTTTATTCTTACCAGGAGGTCAGACGAAGAATTTTAAAACAAAACAGCAGTCATATTTTATTATTTTAAAATAAGAAATCGAACTGTTGCCCAGGTGATGAAATTAAGCCGAAAGACCAATATTGACATCGCGTTATTGTTCATATTATTCTAACGCTCACCCAAAGCAAAACAACGCTCACCTTCATAAACAAAGCCCGTGTACAAATGTTTATGTTATCAGTTTTTTATTTAATTTGCGCGCATTGTTTTATATCGACTTTATGGGCAATTGATTGTATTGGACAGTCACCGTTTGTTTCTGCTTTCATCGTAAGCCGCTGTTTGTTGAACTCTTTGGGTGTTTATTCCAATAATACCGGTGTTTTTGTATCTCGGTCCGCTGGCGGAGAAAATTTGTACTACGATTTACATTATTTAGTGTACTTGCCAGTTTTTAAATGTCATTTGTTACTACCTTAAAAGCAGGTGGATTTCTCATTTAACAACAAATTCATAAGTAGAGAGAGATTGTAGGATTGGCTTTATTTCAATACCTTGATCATGGACAATTTTTTAAAATTTAGTAAAAAATAAAGCAACAGAGACAAAATGCCGTTACATAATGCATATTCTTTTTAGTAATGAAATAACCGAACTCAAGACGACATGGCACATTCGTTACTGCACTCGTTAAACTTCAGATGTTGCTAAAAACATAAAAATATCTTATTCCTTCATGTATTCTAAAATATTATGCATAAAAACCCGCTCTTGTTTCGTCTCATCAAAAAGAGGCTAAAAGTATGATACTTAGTCATTGACCTAACTGGTTAAACTGTCCAGATACTTAAACCCTTTATAGACCTTGTTACAAGTGTAAATTACTTCAACCAACTTGACCTTAAAGGAAAAGAAAATTAAAGTATTTTCGATCTTACCATCAGTGGTCCGAAAAAGACCTTGTTACAGACTTATACTTATAGATATTCGTTAAATGGAGAATATCTCTAAAAAGCAAAACTGAATTACAATGTCTAATACGGTCTTAAAACTGAACAGTGAAATATTCAGCGTTTGTTTGAAATTAATTAGTTCATTGCATTCACGTATGTGTTTTGTCGTTATATTTTAAAGTTTTCTTGTGGGTAATATTTATGCCCTTGTCAAAGCTGTAAGCACTTCAATAATGCCCTTGTCAATACCTTTATGCCCTTATCAAGCACTTTATGCCGTCGTGTTTGTTAGAATACATTGGAAGCATGACCGTTTGGAATATTTCGATTAAAACATTTTCTGCTAAAAAGTATGGTCTGAACAAACCTTTAGCACGTCATTCTTTTCAATACTGTAAAAAATCTGAATCCTTCGACGATCTGTGATTAGTCCTTTTGTCATCCAGAGTTTATGAGAAAGTTAAGAAACTGCTGACGAGTTTGTTAAATTGTTAAATAAATGTTGCCTAAGAAGTCGGTCTAATTTTAATCAAATAATCAGAGTTAGTGAAATATTATGACTAGGAACTTGGCGCGGGAGGTAATTGTCGACTATCTTCTGGGGCGCTGAATCTCCTTTTAAATGACTTAACATCAACGATTACAGGTGGCAACACAAGTTTCCCGTGCTCTTTTGCTGGCGTCGAGTACTTAGTAGGTTTTGCAACACTTGCCTTCTTTTGCGCCTCGACAATGGTGGACCACGTTAGCTTCCGATCAAAAACTTGGATTGGAAGCTGCTTTGCTAGTATAGCATACGCCTGATTTTTTCTTTTACTTTCTCCGGTCAGTTGTTCTTTTTCAGCATTGATTTCCTCTTGTAGATCTTTCTCAGTTCCCCGGAAGTTGTACTTTTCAAACTCTTCCTGTGCGCTACTACCCCGCCTTTGCAAGAGTTTGGAAGACACTTTTTGAAGCACTATTTTATTGGCTGCGTACCCCTTAAACGCTGCATGCAGATCGTCTCTTTGTTTACTTATTTTAACTACGTAGTCGTGACGTTTGTTCTCTATATGCTTGATGCGAGTCTCTAACAGCTTATTTTCGTGTCTATTCGAGGTAGCTGCTCTTTGGATTTTTCGTGCGGTTGAGGCGTTTAGGGTCCCCTCCCGTGTGTCGAAGAAATATCTGTTGTTGTCTCGATCCCAAAGAAGCTTTCGCTCTTTGATCGTCGTGTTTTCTGAGTGCCGTCGCCTGCTCATATTTCCCTTTCCCAATTTATAATCTGGATCACAGTTTTGATGAGGGTAGCTGCCTAGTCAGTGAGATAAATGCACAGCTGACGGCGCGTGGTGCATGCTAATGCTGCATGTGTCAAAATGCTGCTTCGAAACGACAGGGGAGCAATCAAATGTGGAACACACTGGATAAAATCGATATCCGGATCCACTCGTTCAGATAATCAATATAATGATATCATGTCAACAATATCACTCCGTGAGAGCGAGAGAGAGAAAAAAAGGCAAGAATCAACTTGGTTGTTAGGCTATGGAGCACACCGCCTTTCTCTCATGGCCTTGAAATTATGATCAGCTATGCAATGGTATTGGCACTTCGGTCGACTTAAACTGATCAATGAGTTAAATAAATAGTACAGAAACTAGACAGTGAACACCAATGATCAGCTATTACTGAATCAAATCATTACTACAGCGTATGTCTTTGAATTGGCGGCAATCGACCTGTTGACAGTTTGACGCACATGTCACCAAAACACCTTCCTGAGCAGTCCTAGAAAAATGTGAAATTGTTATTGCTACTATTGTTTTTAATGTGTATTTTTTCCATAAAGGCCTTTAATACGATCGGTTAAATCTAAAACCCACCAAGCCGGGGTCCTACATGTAGTTTAGGTTTAAGCTTTTTGTGTATGCAGATTATGCTGTGGACAATTTTGTGACAAAAATTGAAATTTAAGTTTATCGATATGCAAACTGTATCTATTGATGTACTATGAGAATATAATGAAACAATTGTCTCAGTAAGAGTCAGGATGGTAGGGTCAACAACTTATAATACCCTCTCGCCCTCCTCTCTCTCTCTCACTCTCTCTCTCTCTCTCTCTCTCTGGCTCTTTTAACTCCAGGTTATATATTCAACGGATACATTTTGTGCCGGTGTGACAGGAATGGTATTCCTGCGAATGGCAATACATACCCGGGATCGAAATATATTCTTTAACAATAAACATTTTACAATTGATCACATCTGTGAATTTTGTAAGACAAATGAAAGCTAAACCAATGTTTTTAATAAATGCTTGTTGTTCTTTTACTCTACACCGTGTAAGCTGACGAAAAATGGATAATGGATAGTGACAAACTTAATGAAGATCGATATATTGTAATCCCGATATCATTTGTTCATATAGGGTACATGTATCACCATTCCGCACAGCAATGATGACCACTATCCAAGTAAGTGATCGTAGGACAGGTTTATTGATGGTATACAAATGTTGGCCGGTTTAACATGTCACATATCAAACAAATTTGTCCCCTGGGAATGTATGGTCACGGATCTATTGCCCAAAGGCATAACTATATTTTCCGAAGGTTTCTGTCTGTTCCAATTGTCGAATCACACTCAGGAGATTCTGTTCAAAATATAATAATATTATTTGAGTTACCAAGCAACAGAAACTATCCCTCTGACAATGAAAGTTTTTCCATTACGGTAAGACCCTTGGAAGTGTTTCTGAGCATTTTTATTCGGAGTAATTTATAGCTGTTTTGACGCAGCAATGTCGAGAAGTACGCGAAGAAGAGGTTTAATTTGCTTTGCCATTTGCTTTACGGCTGTCTGTAGGTCTCACACAGGGGCGAAATATGGTGCAACAAAAACCGACATGTTCCATATGATCCCAGGGAAATATCTACCCAATGCTGTGTTGGAAACCAGAGAACAACCGGGTGGAATAAGCAGGATAGAATGCGCAGCGGAATGCCAGTCAAACCCAAAGTGCAAGTCGTTTAACATAAGATCTGCCAACACTGTGTGTGAATTGAATTCCGCCGTGGATTTTACACCCACCAAGGTGGCCCTCGTTGACGACACTGCTAGTCGGCATTATGCGAAGGTGGGTAACGCAGTCTTCTATTATTGTACCCACTCTCAGTGTCCATGTACATGTATGTTCTATTTAGTATCATACTGTATAGATATAGAGACGAATGTATATATATATATATATATATATATATATGACAGGATTTAATACCGCGGATCATTCACCAGGTAGTAAGCATGAAATAATTCAAAAGCGCCAAAATTTTCAGACATTTGCGCAAAGATTTTTCACTTAAAATAGGGGAAAGCCCCCCCCCCCCCCAAAAAAAAAAAAAAAAAAAAAAAAAAATTATAATAATAACTGCATATGTAAACGATTGAATATCTCATTTACTAAAGGTTTCAGAAGTTTATTGGCTTATGGTGAGCCACACCAACAATGATCCAGAAGTGACTGGGACATGTTTTTTGAATTTCGTAAGAGGTATTGGAGGTAAATGCACATATATATATATATATATATATATATATATATATATATATATATATATATATATATATATCAATTTTTATGTACAGATGTGTTTGTACATAAAGCCATCATCTGCGTCTGTCGTGGCCG